TATATTATCCTTATTCGGAATTTTTCAGTATATATTATCGTTATATTCATTTCAGATTATTCTACATTCATTTCAGATTTAGGGTATTGATATTTCTTTTGGTATCAGTTGTTTTGTTTTTATTATTTCTGTTGCTGGTTGAGTAAGAGTACACTGTTGATTGTAGGGTGTTGAATTCATAGTAATAACGTAAATGTATATATTATCCTTATTCTGGATGTTTTCAGTAATATTATCGTCACATTTTATTTCAGATTATTCTACATTTCATTTCAGATTATACTATGGCACATATTCTTCGTACATAACATTTATACTAAGAATAACAGTCATATGAAATTGGAGAAGTTCAGCTAATTGAGAATATATTGTAAAATCAAACTTTATTAATTACATATTTCTATACATACAGTTCAGTATTTGAACTACCAATAATTACAATTAACATCATAGTCTGTGCCCCAATTAACTACACAAATGTTGAGAAGACAGAGATTATTCAGTAGTTCTTCATCCTAGTGTAGGGGGTGGAGGCTGACTGGAGGAGGACGAGGCTGGTGACAATTTCTTCTCATGTTGGATATTTCGTCATGCGTTCCCCAAGGATGTCAACCGTTTCTTCTATTCTTGATGCGAACGAGTTGAAATCACTTTGCAACTGATCTTGTTGTTCTTGCATTTTCCTCTCAATACGTGAAAACTCTCTTCTTGAAACCTTTCGATCCTATCAATTCTGCTTACTATTTCGTCTAAGGTTTGAGAAGACATTTGTTCTACATTCTGAGAAGATCCAGGTTCCATACTCGTTCTTCTTCTTTTCCGCACATAGACTCGTCCTTCATTTTCCCCTTCGGAATAGGGACACCTCCCTGCACCGTTGCCCTTCCTCAATTCATCCCTAATCAACAACCATTCTCCTGACCCATTCTTTTTAATCAAACCCATTTAGACATGTGACATTCCCCAACAAATTATTTGCAGAAAACGTTATCTTATTGGCTTCATCTAAAGGGGTGATCTAAAACCCAACTCTGACATATAGGGTAACATTAATCATCCCCCATAAATGTCACATTTTTCTACTTTATCTCTCCCAACTTTTTAATCAATAACTGAGCTGAATTTCCTTGCTTCCCTGTTACTGCTGCTTCCATCAACAATAAATCCTTCACTGTCACATTCCCATTTGTCTCTTTCCTGCCATTAAATGTGAATGTCAGAAATCTGTGAAAAACTCTCATGGCAGGATTTCTTAACTTCGTAGATTTACACCGTGGATGATAAACCCCTATTCCAGAAACATCCGTCCAAGCTTGTTTGGAATCCCACGTTTTGGGTACGCTATCCAAACCTTCAAAATCAATCCCTATCCAGTTTGCTAAGTCCTGTGGCCTCACTACACAATTCTGATTCTTTAATCTAAAGAACATTGTATACGGCGATAAATCATCAGTACTTGTCTCTGATGTTTATAATATACAAAAGCTCCATTGGTTAGTTTCAACAACTCATGATAAATCAAAAGATCCCTGCCCTTCACTGATTGCATATAGCAGTTTCTTCTAAAACACCCAAAACAGAACACTTCTATTTGTCAATCACACAAACCATTCCCACCAAATTGACTGGATTTCTCTTTATCAAATCAACTCCATTCAACACAAATGTAAATCCAACACATTCATCCAACATAAAAAAAATAAAAAATAGAAAAACGGAAGTACCTAATTACCGCGGCTGATTTGTTTTTTTGAGATGAGGAGGACGATGAACCAGAGCGCGCAGATGGGATGAAGAACCCGATGAACCAGAGCGTGGATGGAAGAAAGAAGAAGAAGACCGCTGCCCCTTTTTTTTCAAACGCTTTCTCAAAAAGTTTTAAGCAAAAAGTTTTAAATAAACCTAAAACTTTTTTAATTCTAATTTTTGATTTTAAAAGTTTTAAATAAACCTAAAACTTTTTTAGTTCTTTTTTTTTATTTTAATTAGAGGTGGGACGATAGTCCATTCCTTAGGGACGACCGTCCCTTAAGTATGGACGGCTTGGACTGCCATCCCTTAATTATGGACGGTCGTCCAAAATTAAAGGACGGGCGTCTATTAACATATGAACGCCCGTCCAATGTTTATGGACGTCCCTAATTTTTTTTAATATTTTTAATATTTATTTAGCAATGGACGGGTGTCCTCTAAATCAGGACACTCGTCCGTAGTAAATGGACCCCCGTTCATAAAATATGGACAGGGGTCCATATGAGTGAATGGTCGTCCATATGTTATGGACGGCCGTTCATTAGATAAAATTTAATAACGCCAAAACACGTTGGATGGTTGAGTCAGCACACACGTCAGCCGGTACAAAATTTCAGTGTAAAAACACCGGTGTCTGTAGCATTGCTGTTTAGTAAAATATCAATTGTAGGGGTTAAAATAATTAATTAAAAATAATAATATATTAATATTTAGAAAGGAAGACAATTTAGTAATTTACATAACATATTCACCAATTTAATCATCTCAATCAAATATATCAATATAATATACGTATCAATTTAGTCTAATCTAATCAAATTTTTTCTGTAATCTTTAAGATAATTTATATTTTTATTAATATAATATTCTCAATAAGATAAAACGCAATTTAAGACACCTTTTTTAACTTTTCTCTTTTCCAAACAAACATTAGACGATGTCGGTGAGCATGATCAATTGTCAATATGATTGTGTAATATTATTGTTTGTGTCTTCTGAAATATATAAGCCATGTCTTTCGAGCGGAGGGTGAAGCCGGAAGGAACCATGTGCCATGCCACTGTAATAAAAATTTTAAGATAATAGTTAAAGGTAATAGCATTATTGATGTAGAAAATTAATTAAAAATCTTTTAAAAATTATTGGTCACATGTCGTTTTTCTTGTTTTGATCAATGGCTTCCACCTATTGACTTGAGGAGGTGTACGTGTTTGAATTTTTCTTGCTAATTAGCCCCACACTCACCAATATCAATATCATCATCTAACTGCTTCTATTTTGAAGACATCTGTACTATAATTAATGGTTCTCGGATTCTGAGGCCTCTCTTTAAGAGTATATTATAAGTATCATATATGGTGTTAAAATATATGCAAACAGCACTCAAACAACGAGATTATTGAAAAGAAAAGTTGCCTGGGTTGAGTAAGTGGTACAAATGATACGCTGTCGTTTTTGCTTACTAATAAAAGAGGTGACTACTGTTATACACAATAAAACAAAACAAAAGATAACAGAGGCGTTAGTTGGAATTCTCTCGCCCATGGTTTGGTCTTCCCGGCAAAACAAACTACTGTGCAAAGTAAAGACTCTTTGAACAGCAGAGCAGAGATCTGACGAATGAAATTGTTTAATTTTGTGTTTCTTTGTGTAAAAATGAACGGCTGGGATAACTAATCACATGTATTACCACTTGTAGCTATAAAATGAAATTGCTCTAATAAAATCAGTAAGTGATGAAAACACTCTAAAAAATTCTGCCTCATATTCTTTTCTTTTCCTCTCAATATATTCTAGTTTTTCTTTGTGTTCGTTATCAAATTGTGTTAATATATGACGTTTTCTTGCTAATCAGCCCCACACTTTCAATATCATATAATAAAATAATAAACCTCTCCCATTATGGTCTGATAAACCCTTTATTTTTTAGGATTAGTAGTATCTAAAGGGTTTTGAGTTTTAATTGTAAAAGACGTATCTATCAATAATTTATAAAATTATCTTAATTCATTAGGTTTGTAGAGTGTTCTGTGTCCCTGAAGATTATACATGACTCTAATGTGAACTTAAATATCTTAATTACTTAAAAATAATAATAATAAAATAAATGTGTCAATATAATTTTTTATATATAATATCTTCAAAAGTAAAGATTCACATATATATACGAATTGCAAATATCCTGATGAAACAAACCTTTACGTTAAAAAGTTAAAAATAAAAGTTAAAAATTAAAAAAAACCTAACGCTGCGTTTGGTTGGAGATAATGTTGAATTACTGAGGCAATGCCATTTTATATTATTTAATTATCACATTTGATTGTCAAGTAATATAAGATTCTGGTAATCTTTAAAAATCGATAATAGTTACTGTTGGTAATATTGGAGGTAATCTGATTAGCTTCATTTTTTTAGGTATTGTAAGATTACATGGTAATTTTATTTTTGTTACAATTTTACCCATTATTAATAAATTTTTTGGATGATACTGCCCTTGTTTTAAAATCAATTAACATTAATCTACCATTACAATTTTACCCTTGTCTAATGTCTAATTAAGTTTTTAGACAACAATGCCCTATATTTAAAAAAAAATTGCAGTCCACCACTGCCACCCAACCACCACCATTAGCAGCTAGCCAACGGCCATATCGACAGCTCCTGACGATTTCTAATGACTTTCGACGATTCTTGGTGGCAGAAGGCGGTGACTGGCGGCCGGTAGCGGTTTGGTGTGGGTGGGGTGATTTTGTTACAAATTAAAGATTTATATAAGCTATGGTATTTTAGAGAAATCTGAAATGTTGGGGGTTAAAAAAAATTATTTAAAAAATGATAATAAAAATAATAGTATATTAATATTTAAAGATGATGACAATTTAATAATTTAAATAATATACTTACCAATTTATTTTTCCTAACCAAATATATTAATATAACATATCCACCAATTTATTCCAACTAACCAAACACATTTCCTTACAGATTCTCAATAATCTTCAAGATAATCTAACTTTTCATTAATATAATATTTTTAATAATCCAACATTTTCTAAACCAAATACACCCTAAAAGTTTTTAACCTTAGGATACACGTTGAATAAGAGTTATTTATTTATTTTTATTAAAACTAATATGTAAAAGGCTTCCGTTTTTTACTATGGAGGTGTTTCACTGTTTCTTGACTTGAGGTCATTCTTCGTGTATAAATATCATAGCCCTCTTTTCTTTGAGAGTATTTCAGCTTAAGTTTCCTCTCCACACTCCACTTACAACTTTCTTACCAAATTTTCCTTTTCGGGTATTGCTTCCCAACCTCAGGTACCCAAAGAGGTAACTCTTTCAACCTGTTTTTTTTTTTTTTTTCCCTTCTCTGGTTGGGTTTTATTTTCACATTATTTTCAGATAATTTCTCTTTCTGTCTCTTTTTTAGTTAGCATCCGAGTGAAGATATCTGCAATTTGTTCTATTCTAGTTCAAAAAGAAGCTGAATTGAAGCTCATGATTAAAGCAAAAGATGAGGTATATATGCTTAACTTGACTAGTGGGGTTGTAATATGGGCAAGAAAGGAATCATAATCACTCACTTGTAACTTTCAGTTAAGTGTTTAACAAGCTTTCATCATAAATCGTTGGATTAGCATTTTACAAATAGGCAACAAAGCACATGATAAAGCAAAAGATCAGGTATATGTGCTTAGCTTGATAAGTGGGATTGTAACATGCAGAGGAAACGAATCACATTATCAAGGCCATGTATATAATATACACATTCTAAGGGAAGTGGAAGAGAAAACACATTATCAATAAACAAAGAGAGATGGGAGAGATTCACCATAAGTAACTCATCCCTGCAGCTGTGAGCTGTGGATAAATTAGTAAGTAGTTACTCAACATTATATTTTGTCTGCTATTATTATTATTATTATTATTATTATTATTTTTGTTTTTTTAGAATTATTTTAGGATTATAAACAAAAAGAAGCCCTTAATTAGCATCCGAGTGATGTGGCTATGAGAGATTGTGTAGTATGTTATATGAGTAAATATTTGTAATATAAGAGAAACTAATGCGTGCATATAAGTTAGGAACTCAAGGCAATTTTAAGTAAATAAGCTCATACACAAAACTAGACTTAACTTCTCAAATCTGCATAGAAGATAGAGGAAACACATGATATCAAGGTGATGAACAAGAATATATAGAAATTTGAAGAGTCAAAGATACCAACCATAAGTATTATTAACACATCCCAGTCTAGAATTAGAGAGGAGGAACTTTACTTATAAATTTTTTTTTTTTTTTTTTTTTTTTTTAGGAATATGGGTTTGGAGATGAGTAGTACTGCCGCCAGTAAAGATGAGGACCAGAGCAAAGATTTACTAATTGATATCATTGAAGAAAACTTATCAAATCCTGAGCCCGCTCTTGAGTGTTATATTTGTAGGGTTCCTAAAAGCATTCGCTGAATAAATGAAGAAGCCTACACTCCTCAGTTAGTTTCAATAGGTCCTCTTCACCATGATAAAGAAGAATTAGCTTTCATGGAAAGACAGAAAATAAGGTATATGGAAAGTTTTCTCAAGCGAATAGCAGTTGAGAAATGTGACGAACTTTTAAGCTTCATAGAAAACCACAAACAACGAATTCATAATTGTTATGCAGAGATCATTAAAATGGAGAGTGATGCGATTATAACCATGATTCAACATGATGCTATCTTCATCCTCGAGCTTTTTCTAAGGAGTTACCATAATGATAGAAGTGACAATTTTTTGTTAAAGATTCCAACAACAAGGTTTTCCCTAAAGATGGATTTGCAGCTACTAGAAAATCAACTTCCATTCTTTGTCCTCGAGGAATTATACAATTTAGCTTTCAAAACTCCTACCTTCAGGGATCTTTCTTATAAATTCTTATGTTTATCCAATACTTTACCCGCTGAGATGGTGGTTAAACATTTCACCGATTTGAGAAGAAGTACTCTCTTCAGAAATTTCCCAAAGAGAAAGGAGTTAGAGCAAGGGTTCATTTCAGATTTACCTTGTGCAGTAAAGTTGCATGAGTCGAGAGTGAAGTTTAAGGGTATTACAGGAACATCATTACTCGACATAAGATTTGAGAAGCGTAGGTAGTGGCTGACTATGGGACATAATGTTTGCTTCGAAACATTATGGCTTTGGAGCAATGTCATTATCCATTGAATACTCGAGTTTGCAACTATGTGATGTTATAACTAGTCAACAAAAACAAACTAAATACCAGATCAATCAAACACACAGATTTGCACAAACCAACTAACACAAGAACACAATATTTACCGTGGTTCGATTATCCCTTTTGGATAATCTACATCCACGTTGAGTTCCGGAATAGAGAGCTCATGGCACTACTATTAAGAACAAGATCCACACAGTACAGAATCAAACCAAATACACCCTCTCTGATCTCACACAAGAATCAACCCGTAACTAAACCTAAGAACTCTCAACTGGAATCCTCAAGCCACAAGAGTAAAACCACCCTCAGATTGACTAACACTCCCTAATCAATCTACCTAAGTTACAATGATTCTCAATGGTGCAGAAAACCTAAATCAAGAACAGAGAAAACACGATCACAAGAGAAAACCTAAAACTAATTGCGCAAATGACTGTTCCCTTCTCTTTTATACCATTGACTCTTTTGACAAGTCTCAGCCATTGGATCTGGACAGTTTGGATGGTTAGGATGTTTAGCAAATTTTGTCCCAAAACTCTGCGTTTCACTTAAGTAACAAAATGGTGTCGTTTTTAGTCTTCATTCCAACATTCTCCACCTTGAAGACTTGAAAAAGTAATCAGTAGTGCAATGGACTCTAACCATATCCCTCATAGCTCTAGTTTATGTTGAATTATTCCATGGACAACAGCTTCAAGCAGTGCTTGAATTTTGCTGGTGTGATGATCTTAGTCCCCATATCAGCTGGATTTTCCTCAGTGGGTATTTCTTCAGTTCAATTACTCCTTGGGCTACCACATCTCTCACAAAGTGAAACCTTATGTCTACATGTTTGATCCTCTCGTGATAAACTGGGTTCTTACTCAGATGTATAGCACTCTGGCTATCTAAGTAAATTATGACCTTTCCTTCAGTTAGATTTGCTTCTGACATCATCCTTTGTAATCACACAGCCTCCTTAATCACATCGACAATGGCTATGTACTCAACCTCTGTTGATGAAAGTGCAACTATAGGCTACAACTGAGATTTCCAGCATATTCAGTTTCCTCCAAGTGTAAAATAGTAAGCCGTTGTGGATTTTTTGGTGTCTCTATCACTTGCAAAATCTGAATCTACAAACCCAACAAGATCAAGCACAATATTATTCTTACAGTACTTTAAACCAACATTTAATGAGCTGTTAATGTATCTTAGAACCCATTTCAGGGCAGTCCAATGTTCACTACCAAGGTTGGACATGAATCTACTAAGAAGTGATATAGCAAAAGATAGATCAGGTCTAATACTTATCATAGCATACATTAAGGAGCCAATCACATTTGAGTATGGGATATCATTCATCTTTATCATCTCAACTTCAGTTTTAGGACATTGTTCTTTAATAAGCATGAAGGGATTTTCCAAGGGCATTGTGACAGGTTTTGAGTCAATCATACCAAATTTATTTATTAATTTCTACAAGTAAGCACCCTGATCTAATTTTAATCAGTTATTCCTCTTATCTCTAGCTATCACAATCCCTAATATTTTCTTGGCATTTCCTAAATCTTTCATGTCAAATTCTAAATTTAATTTCTTTTTTAGATCTTGTATCCTAGGCTTGGATCTACTGATTAACAACATATCATCAACATACAGCAAAAGATAAATTGGCAGATTTTTATCCAGATCAAAATAGAAGCAACTATCATACTTGCTTCTCCTAAATCCGAAGCCTATTACGAAGGTGTCAAACCTTTTGTACCACTGCCTAGGGGCCTGTTTAAGGCCATAAAGGGACTTATGAAGCAAGCATACATGGTCAGGAGCCCTAACATCAATGAATCCTATAGGCTAACTCATATATATTTTCTCAATCAAATTTCCATGCAGAAAAGCAGTAGTTACATCTAGTTGTTCTAATTCTAGATCTTGGTGTGCAGCAATGGCCAACATTAATTTGATGGTTTTGTATTTCACCACTGGGGAAAAGACTTCATTGAAGTCTATTCCCTCTCTTTGGGTGTAGCCTTTGGCAACTAGCCTGGCTTTATACCTAGGTGGGTCAAAAATTGAAATACCATCTTTAAGTTTATAGAGCCACTTACATTGGATCAACTTTTGATCTTTGGGTTTGGTACCAAAGTCCAAGTTCTGTTTACCTCTAGTGAGTGCATCTCTGCCCTTATTGCTGCTTCCCACTTTTCCTTATCTTTGGATATCATTGCCTCTTTGTATGTTTTAGGTTCTGTCCTCTGGACTTTTGTACCTGTAAGCAAAGCAGAAAAGATCAGTTCAGCATAAGAATAACGAGCAGGTGGCCTTACCTCTCTCCTGGTTCTGTCTCTGGCCAGTTGGTACTATTGAAGGTCAGTAGGTTGGTGTTCTGGAATTTCATCAGTGGTTCCTTCATCTGGTTGTTCAGGTTCTGTATCAGCTTCTGTTTGAGTTTCAGTTTCAGTTTGGGTGGAGTTAGGGTGATGAGGTAGTTGCTCCACCTCAATTGGGGTACTTTCAGTATGGTTGGGGTTAGAATCAGTGTTTTCTGCTTCCCAGATCAGTGGTAGGTCCTTTGTAAGGGAATTCACACTCATTGAACACAACATCTCAGCTTACAATAATCTTTACCCCTAGTGTCTCCCTATCCCATAGTCTATACCCTTTTGTGCCTTCTTGATAACCTAGAAATATGCACTTGGCAGACCTAGGTTCAAGTTTTCCTTCTACAGTATGTGCATAGGTAGCACAACCAAAAATCCTCAAATGACTTAAGTCTAGTCTTCTTCTAGACCAGATTTCTTCAAGACATCTTCCATTGATGGTAGTAGAATAACTTCTATTCACAAGGTAGGTAGTGGTGGCTAAGGCTTCCCCCCAAAAAGCGTTTGGTAACCCTGAAGTAAACAAGAGACACCTAACCTTTTCTAGTAAGGTACAGTTCATCCTTTCTGCCACGCATTCTGTTGAGGGGTCCCAGCTACTGTTCTATAACTCAAAATCCCATGTTCTTTACAGAAGTTATCAAACTCAAAATTGCAAAATTCAAGTCCATTGTCTGTGCAAAGAGCCTTTACTTTCTTTCCTGATTGGTTTTCTACCAGTGTTTTCTAATCCCTAAACTTGGTCAAGGCCTGGTCTTTGGTTTTTAGGAGAAAAGTCCAGACTTTCTACTGTGGTCATCAACAATGGATAAGAAATAGCTATTCCCACCATGGGATTTAATCTTTTCAGGTCCTCAGAGGTCAGAGTGTAAGTAACCTAGGCAGTTTGTGGCTAAGTGGGTCCTTTTTGAAAAACTTAGTTTGTGTTGTTTTCCTAACACACAGTTTTCACAGAATTCTAGGTTGCTAATGGTGTCCTTCCCAAACATTCCCTAATGGCTAAGAATCTGCATACCCTTCTGACTCATATGTCCTAGCCTAAGATGCCACTTTTTAGTTACTGTTTGTTTGGTGGGGGACAACATAGTGCTAAAACATCCTGGATGAGCATCACCATATAAAATATATAAACCATTTCTCTTTTCCCCTTTCAGAACCAAATTCTGGTTTTTGTACACATATAGGCAATCATTGTTAACCTTATAGGAGCATCCAGCCTCATCTAGTGTTCCTAAGGATATAAGATTCCTTTTTAACTCAGGGATATAACTCACATTGGTCAATTTTACAATTTTTCCATTTGTAAGTTTAAGAGTTATACTGCCTATCCCCTTCACTCTACAAGCCTGATTATTTCCCATATAAACAGTTTCAATTTCCCGAGATTCTAGATTCTAGAACCAGTCCTTGTGAGGGCTCATATGAAAAGAGCAGCCTGAGTCCAGGACCCATTCCTTAGCAGTATCAGATATTGATACTGTCAAGACCTTAGGTTCCTCCCATTGGTTATTACTAGATGCTAGATTACTCTCAGTATTACCCTGTTTATGTTTTTTCAACCATTCAAAGCAGTTTTTCTTGATATGGCCAGGTTTATTGCAAAAGAAACACTTCCTAGTGTCTGATTTTGTTTTATTATTCCTCTTCCATTTTTTCTTGTTTTTAGACCCATGTTGGTTCTGATTTGTCTTTCCTGTTTGACTAGATTCAGGCTTACCCTTTACAAACAAGTTACTCCCAGATCTTTTATGTACTTTAAGCTCTAGTTCCCCACCTTTAAGACCAGCAACAATTA